AAGACAGTCTGTGTGTTGGCCCGGCCTGAGTTCACAATTGCGAACTATGGTGCAACAGTGTGATGAATGTAGAAAGGCTTCCATGACGGCTGTAGAACCGCTACAACCTACAGACTTTCCACCGTATCCATGGCAGAGAGCGGCTACAGACTTGTTTGAACTAAAGGGAAAAAAGTACCTTTTAACTGTCGATTATTATTCAAGAGATATCGATGTGGCCAAATTGGCATCAACTATAATCCGCAACAATAATCGAACATCTGAAAGCAGTGTTTGCATGGAATGGGGTGCCTGAGATACTAATATCTGACAATGGGCCACAGTATAGCAGCGCCGACTTCCGGGAGTTTTCAAGAGAGTATGACTTTAAGCACATAACAAGCAGCCCATGGTATCCACAAGGAAATGGTGAAACGAAAGAGCGGTACAAACCGTCAAAAAGCTCCTGGGAAAAACATCAGATCCATTCAAAGCTTTGCTTGCATACCGCTCTACACCACTTGCAAATGGCTACAGTCCAGCGAAATTGTCAATGGGCAGAAGACTGAGAACAGGCTTACCAACTCTGCCGTCTCTTCTCACACCAAAACTTCCAGACGCAGACAAACTGAAACAGTTTGAATCCAGTCAACGTGCTTGCACAAGACATTCATTCAATAAGAGACATAGAGCAAGATCTTTGTCACCACTAAAACTGGACAGACTGTTTGGATTAGGGACCAAGCCATCCCTGGGAAAGTGATCCGACAGCAGGCCCCAAGGTCGTTTGTCTTGAAAACCTTGCATGGAAATATTTGACGCAACAGACGGGCGTTGGTGCGACTCCACCACCCTGAAACAGATAAGGAGCAAGCAGTTGATTGGCCAGAGTTATTTGAGGCTGATCGTGTATCTGACAGTCAGATGCCAACAGTCCGTCAACCATCTCCAAGTTCGCAGTCTGCCATACCTACCCGACATGGAACTTACACAAGGTCGGGACGTTTGTCTGTTCCACCAAGACAAATTAATCTTTAGTTCATGGCCAGTGATCACAGAGGCAGAATAATCCTCTCACTGTGCCAGGAGTGCTCAGGTAGTCCACCCCTCCTTAGAAAGAAAGAAAAAAAAGGAGAAGATAATATTAATGTGAAAAAAACTGTGTGAAATGTATGATAATGTGAAAGACAAATTGTTGTGATAAAGGATGTTATTCAAGCAATAATTTTCCTGTACATTAGAGAAGCATAGCATGTATATGCTTAGAATTGGTTAAAAATG